GGTGAGCAGCGACCTGCAGCAGCACAGCAAAACCGCATCCAGAAGCTGCTGCAAGAAACGATTGATGAAGCTGGCCTAGCTCTCCTTGATCTCCACGTTGCAACCACCACAGGCTCAGATAAGTTCTGCCCACACCAGCGTTGCTTCCCCAGAACAGACTTGCTCATTTACGTGATCAAGAGTAATTTAAAGAGGCCCCCGGGTGGCTCAGTGGTTGAGTGTCTGCCTATGGCTTGGGTCATGATCCTGGGATCCTGGGATCGAGTCACAGGGAGCCTGCTTCTCCCTCTGTCTCTCTCTCTGTGTCTCTCATGAATAAATAAATAAAATCCTTTAAAAAAAGAATTATTTAAAGAACTGGTGCTTCAGTTTTCTTTACTTGTTTCTGAAATATGTTATATGTTTATAGAGATAAGTTGCACTCCAGTTACACTGGGTACATAGCGTATGGCTAGAAAGCTGAAACACTACTTGTATAGAATGCTTTCTCTTGCTTTGCTATACTTCCCGATACATGAGGAATTCCAGGGGCTTTTCACCTTGACAGATTTTATGGTTCTCTACAGTATGTGTAAGAGTATGAAACGCATATTTTTGTGGTGCCTCTCACAGAGCGAGCATTCACCTGTTACATATGAAACGTCTTTCTCAAAAGTTACATCAAAACTATGCTACCAAAGTACTACAAGAATAAAGTAGAGGGTGCCTGCGTGGCTCAGTGGTTGAGCCTTTGGCTCAGGTCATGATCCCGGGGTCCTGGGATCAAGTCCCACTTCCAGCTCCCCACAGGGAGTCTGCTTCTCCCTCTGCCTATGTCTCTGCCTCTCTCTGTGTGTCTCTCATGGATAAATAAATAAAATCTTTTTTAAAAAGAATAAGATAGAAAATAAAGGTTTTGGCTTTTTTTTTTTTTTAAAGACACAATCTCAGCTCTCAGTGAAGAAGAAAGCCCACAGTTTGAGAGCACATTACCACACAATAAGCTGTTTAAATACATTAATTCAAGAATGTTCACAACTCCATGAGAAAGGCAATGATGTCTCTGTCTTACAGATGAACACACCAGGGCTTTCAGAGATCCACAGCAAGTAAGTGGCAGAACGGAGATCCAAGGCCACATGAATTGGGCTCCAGAGACCTCACTCTTCCCACATTACCTACTGATACTCCAGGTGAACAGATTAAATGAAGATATGTGAACATCTATCAATAGATCAAGCTCCGAATCAGACAGTGAGTTCTAAGGACTGAGGACTTTACACAGTCTGCAGATACCAGTCAGTTAGGAAGGAGGAGGGTCTTGTGTTGACCCTGAGAATGGAAGTGAATCTGAGAGGTACGAGATGGGTAAAGCAGAAGAACAAAAGAATGAGCAAAGGGCCAAAGTAAGGCATAACTGACTCCCTGAGAAAGGTTATGGCAAAGCTGGAGATGAAGCTCGAATGGTAGGCGGAGGCCCGACATCCAGACCGAAGAGTGCATGGTCTGTCTTCTGAAGTCAGGACAGGGGGTAGGCACTACAGAGGCTGGACACATTTGGTAAGTGTTGTCGCCAACAGGACAAGAAAGATACAAATGTGAGGACCTGCCATGAAGGTGTAATGGGGAACTGACTGCCATGTTAGTCAAACCAATGGACAACTCTCATTCTCACCTTTTGGACCCATTTAACATGGTGTGATTTACTCCCTCCTCCTTGATACACTTTCCTCACTTGGCTTCCAGGACTCCTTCTCCTTGCATTTCCTCTCACCTCACTGGCCATGCCTTCCATTGCTGACTCTTCTTTTCTCTGACCTGTTGGAGGCTCCCTGGGACCTCTTCTCATCAAATATACTCTCCTGGTGGGGTTCATTTAGTTCTCGTTTTAAATATCATCTCTGTGCCAATGACTTCCAAATTTATATCTGAAAGCCTAGGCTTTTCTTCTAAATTCCAGACTCCTACTCAACTGCCTGCTCCATCCCAGAGCCCTGATATTTGTAGCATATCAACTACTAAAATATCATTTATTATGTTTGCTGTTTATTTTCTTGGTCCCACTCCTCTGCTAGAATGCAAATTACTTGAGGATAGGATTCTTTGATTTGTTCACTTACATTTTGAGTGCTTGAAATAGTGCCTGGCACATAGTAGGCACTTGGTAAGTATTTGCAGAATAAATGAATAAAGGGACAGCATAAGGCAGCCTCGAGGCAGTGTGAGAACCCTCACGAGGTACCACTACCAAGGGAAAGCAAGCGGCAGTGAAAGTAGCTGAGGGAAGGAGGGACGTGAGTATTATCAGTTTGCCATGTGAAACCTGAACCGACAGGTGGGCATTTGGGTAGAAACATTTGGTAGGATTTGGGAATTCTGGGACCAGTGTTTATGGTTATTGCTTCATCTGTAAAGAAGGGCAGGTTGTCTTGAAGATTAAATAACCTAAAACCAGCAAGTCTCTGACACATGCAAGATACATTCACCCAATAATTGTTTTCCTTCTCAAGGGCTCTTCATCTTCTTAGTCAGGTACCCCCAGCACAGTCCAGACCACCCAGCTCATATGCACATCCCTGATGATTCACCTGTTTACATCCATCACACCCTGGATCCCTCCTCGTCGACTCCTGAGAATGCAGCCCTCCCTCGTCAGCCCTCTTTGAGGATTGCCTTGCTCAGGGTTACCTTTCTTCCAGGGCAGCCCTTATGCAATGACTGACCTGCTTGTGAGGGCACTGAGGCCCAACCCTCTCACGCAGACTTGAGACAGCTATGGAAAGTCACCCCACTTCAGGGCTCCCAGGGGCTGGCTGAGGCCTTTACTGGGGCTGCAAGCCACTCAGCTTCAGCCTCTGCTCAGCCCGTCAGCACCTCCTTCCCTTCTATAGGTAAGGCACTCAACCCAAAGAAATAACCTGCCTGCTAATCTCCATTCAGACTCAGCTTCCTAAGAGCCCAGCCAGTGGCAGATATAACATCCAACAGAGCTCTGGGATTCTTTCTCATTGAAATGCAGATGAAACCCAAGTAGAGGGGCCCCTGGGTGGCTCAGTGGTAGAGCATCTGCCTTTGGCTCAGGGCGTGATCCTGGGGTCCTGGGATCAAGTCCCACATCGGGCTCCCCCCAGGGAGCCTGCTTCTCCCTCTGCCTATGTCTCTGCCTCTCTTGTCTCTCATGAATAAATAAATAAAATCAAGAAAGAAAGAAAGAAAGAAAGAAAGAAAGAAAGAAAGAAAGAAAGAAAGAAAGAAAAAGAAAGAAAGAAAGAAACCCACATAGACCTGGAAGGTATGGTTTGACCAAAATCCTTTTTTATATTTTTTAATTTTTTCCCAATCGTAAAATCCTTTTTTTTATCAAGAAATTTTCAAAGTTTTTAGAATGTAATGTGGTTAGTCTAATGCCACAAAAAAATGTGAGGAGGAGGTCCCAAATTTAACAAAAGAATTCAGTGCGTCTGTTAAGAGGGAAAAAAGAAATTTCATTTTTATTTTCAATAATCTCTGGCTGGTATGTAGTATTTCCTGTCATTATGAATGCAGGCAACAAAGCCTAGTGGTAACTCTTAATAACCTTGCCACAAATAGAAAATCACAGGTATTCTCACACCACATTTTAGTCTCACAGCACCTGTCTTCAAATGTTGTTTACTGTCCTCATGATCTTGAAAATTCAGTAATTATCTGACTACCATCTCCCACTGGACCCACGGTCACACCTTACTATTTAATAATGGGTAAAGATAAGCACATATGTTACTTCAGACAATTTTTGTTTTAATTCTTTGATTTTTTTAAAAATGTATTTATTCATGAAAGACACAGAGAAAGAAGCATTGACATAGGCAGAAGGAGAAGCAGGCTCCCTGAGGGGAGCCGGATGCGGGACTCGATCCCGGGAGCCTGGGATCAGGACCTGAGCCAAAGGCAGAGGCTGAACCACTGAGCCAGCAGGTGCCCTTTACTTTTAATATTTTCATCTGGATTTCAACATGATTGATTCCCTGGGCAATCCTGCAGATTTTGGTTTTTGTAATTAAAAGTATTCTAAGAGGGAGCGTTACAGGCTTCATCAGACTGCCCGGGAGGTCGGGGCGTCAGCTCACTAGGGCGACACCGTCCGCGGGTGGAGACTGCAGGACTCCTTCCCTCCAGGCAAAGCCGGGAGCTGCACGTGGGTGTCGCCAAGGCGCAGTCGGCCCGGGCAGGACAGGCTCCAGCCGCTGTTGGCGTCGTGTCCTCCCCCACCCCCACTTCTGGAATGCGCGCAGCTTATATGAAATCCACATGGTGCGCTGCTGCGGAAGGCGGCGGCACGAAAGGACCCGACCAAGCTGACAGCGTCCCCAGGCCCGGCCCATCCAGAGAAGGCTCCAGGGCTCTCCCCGCGGGGCCCCCGTGGTGACCCTGCTCCGCCACAGGAAACTGGATCGCCAGGTCGTCCTGCCTTCCCGGCCCTAAATTCTGGCCCGAAAGGAGCCGCCAGCCGGAGAGCGGACTCACGGCCGAGACACACCCGGAGGGAGCCCGCACCCAGACGCGGGCTGTCGGCGAAATCCCCGGGCCCAGCGCGGCTGTGACGGGCTGCTCTGCCCCGAGCGCTGCCCGGACCTGCCCGCCCGGACCTGCCCGCCCGCCCGGCTCGCGGCCCAAGGGACGGGTCCATAGCGGGACGCGGACCGACTCCCCGCGGCGGGGCGGCCCCCAGCTGCCGGGGGGGGGGGGGGAACGCCTCCCGCGGTCCCGGGGTCCCGAGGGTGTCGGGGTCCCGGGCGTGTCGGGGTGCCGGGGGCCTCGGGGTGCTGGGGCTCCCCGGGGCCGGCAGGGCGCGCGCGGAGCCGCGCAGACGGGGCGATGGCGAGCACCCCCGCCCGCAGCCCCTCCTGCTGCAGTGGCCCGGCCGGGGGTCCCCGTCCCCGCCCAGGACGCCCACGTCCGGCCAGCCCCGCGGGCGCCCCCGCCGGCCCCCGCCGCCCTCCGCCGCTACAGCCCCCGCCGGCCCCCCGACTCGCACTCACGTAGACCGAATCGAGGTCGGATTTGTCGAAGAAGCGGAGCGCCCGCCTCAGCTCCAGGGCCGGGGAGACACGGTCGTCCCCGGGCTCCAGCTGCAGGTCCCCGTGTCCCGGACCGAACGGGAAGAGCTCCTGGCGGCTCAGGCAGCCCCCGGGCCCCACCAGCAGCAGCTGCAGCAGCAGCGCCCGCGTCCACGCAGTCTCGCCCCGGCGCCTCGCGGCCGACATGGTCCCGAACTGGCGCCCCGCAAAGCTAGCGGCTCTGCGGACGCGGCCGGGGAGGGCGGAGACGTAACCGGACGCCCCTCGGCTGCCCCTGCACCCGCCTCCCGAGGTTCCTACCCCGGGAAATAGCGGAGGAGGACCAGGGGAGGTGGGGGGGTGGGGAGGGGGAGGGGAGGGGAGGGGAGGGCCCGCCCGCCCGGGCCGGACGCGCCGCCGAGGCCGCCCAATGGGCGGGGGGTGGGGGTGGGGGAGGGGGAGGGGCTCCGCCCACCCCCGCGGTCCTGGCGCGTCGCCCTGGGCCCCGCGGGGGCAGGAGCGCGGGGGCCGCGGGAGAGCCGAGCGCGCGGCTTCGCGCCCCGGGCCTGGGGTCTGGGCCCAGTCGGAGGGCGGGCTGCGTGGAAATGCTCCGCCTTCAGGAGCACAGTCCACCCCCACCCCGGCGCTGCTCGGCGGCGTCCGCGGTCGGACTCACTGGGCCGGACTCTGGCAGGAAGAGGGGGTAGGTAGGTGCAGGAAATCAGGGAGAGGGGACTGGACCGGAGCGCGTTCATCTACTCATCCGTCCAGGTTTTCAGCGTCGTTGAGTGAGGTGGAAGTTCGGCCGGACGTGGGGTCCCCCCCTCGGAGACACAGTCATGAGTGTGTATGATAATCCGGTGTTTGGTGGGGCGGGGCCCCCAAGTGATAAAATGACATTAGGGATGGAATAATTGGCCAAGGAGAACTTCCGAGGGGGACCTGGGACTCGAACCACGGCTTCTGGAAGGGGATGGAAAGTCATCAGGAGGCTGGGGAAGGGACGTTCTGGAAAATGGAGCTGTGAGCGGATTCAAGACACAATCTCCCAGTTGAGAATGTGGAACGAGGGCAGTTGGGAGGAAAAAAGCCTTAATACCAAACCTAGGAATTTGAACTCGCTCTTAACGCTCAGAGAACAGCTATTGAAAGTTCCTGACAAAGGGCGATAAGGCATGTAACTGGCGTCCTAAGTAATGGGTTGATCATTAATTTGGCATTCATTGGGAGGTCATCAGAGGGCTGTTGAAAGGGAAAACAGGGGTGAGGGGTAGTGAGAATGGAAAAGGTGGATGGATATTGAGAAGAATTGGACCTAAGAGGCGTTACAACGAAAGAAGGAATGAGACTTGATTATGAATCTGATATGGGGGTTAGGGAGAGAAGTTAGAATTGGGTGTAAGGTTTTGAGCCTGCAGGATTGCAAAACAGGGCTGCCTTTTGAAGTCAGGGACAGTGGGTGTTGGATATGTGCTTGCTATCAGACCTCTTAACCTAGAGAGGTCAACACGGGGCATTTCTGTTGCCTGTCACCAGCTAAAATGAAAGACCTAGGACGCAATTCCAAATAATTCTCACAGTAAACAGCAAATTCAATGTAATATTTAAGGAGCAGGAGTCCTGAACCAATAGAAAACATAAAAAGCAAATGACATCCACCCTCTGAACAGAAAGTCTTTCATCATTCTGGATGTCTTTTTCTTTTAAATTCATTAGCTGTCACAGAAAACACTACATTTCTATAAGGTATCAGTTCGTTTTGCAACCACGATAACCCTAGGAGAGAGACCATCCCCATTTTCCTGAAGAGGGGCACAGAGATCCAGAGAGGTTTAAATCATTTTGCTAAGGCTGCACAGCTGGAAGCCTGCAGGTGACCCAGGGTCGTCCAGTTCCAGAACCACCTTAACCACTACATTAAATGGCTTCTGTATTGATGCAGTTTCTCTCTTGTTAAAAAGTGACTAGTGCTCCTTGCAATCCGTTGCCAAATCTGATGGCTTTTCCTTTATTTCCCTCCCGGAATAGTGGGGCGCTGGGACCCCCTGTCCCCCACCCCTGAAACACACTTCCTGACTGTGCTCCACACCATCCCTGGCTTCAACTGCTATACCTCTGGGCTTCCAGGCCCCAGCACTGCCCATTCAACCTGCCAGCGACTCTTTCTGGAGGCTCCTCTTCATTCTCTGTGCTTACCTGTACTCAGCATGGGCCCTATGACACCAAGCCAGCCTTTTCCTGCCTGTTGCCTCACTCGGACTATCCTCTATCAAAGCCCCCATCTTCTGTCTCACTTCAGAGCTATGCTGAAGCTGTTGCTCGTGCCTGGAATCCTCTCCGTTTTTGGTACTCAGACAGATTCTGCAACTCCTATTGGTTCATAGCATTTCCCTCGGCTCCTACAAGAGCAAGTTCTCCAGAATACCAGTGCAAAGCTCCAAGACTATTAAGACACAATCCCTTTGGGGAGCAGCTCACAGTCTGTTGGAGAAGACAGACAGATGTAATAGTAACTTGGTGAGATGTGAACTAGTCTTAACAGAATGAATACCAATAACAGTTGCCTAAGTGAGTAGCCTCAAGCAGATGTGGGGAAATGGGACTTGCAGAAGTTAGATAATACACCCAGTTTTGTAGTTTGTGGAAGAGCCAGGATTTGAATGTTTTCAAATTTCAGTGTATCTGAAACCAAAGCTAATACTTTTTCTGCCACACCCTTCTGCCTTTCTGTAAAAGGAGAGGTTTCTCCCCCAATTTCCATCCACAAGGTATATCTGCTCTGTTGTTTATACATAATGTTCATTTACTATTTACATGTTCATTTATTCTATCAGAATGGTCTTGCTTAAAAAAAATAAATAAAAATAAAAAAATAAAAAAAAAAGAATGGTCTTGCTTAAGTGAGTCTAGTATGTACCGTAAACTGTCTGTCGTTTCCTATTATAGCCCTGCACTCATTGCACATCGTTTGGTGCTAGGGAATGTGACATCTATGCTATGCCTCTGACTGAGACAATGTAGCTGCCAGCTACTCCTTTAGGATTTCTAGTTTTAAATACATTTAGATACACAATCTTCATCATTAAATACTTAATTTTATGTTATGCCCTGGTCATTTTCTAAGTATATGTAACAATTACATATTTTCCTCTAGTTGTTTCATGTCCCCTCCAATATAAGCTCTTTGGGGGAAGCCTCATGTGTTCTTTTCTTTTCCAGAGTTCACAGAGCCTCAACTAATGCTGTGTGCACGTTAATAAAAGTTAATAGTTTGAAAACTCAATAGTACTTTTAAGAACCATTTGCTATCTGCAGTAGCATATGAACCCAAAATGACATAATATACCAGGTTTTTAAAAAATTATCTTTTATTAAACTCGGCACATTAGAGACTTGCACTTTTTCACTGAGTGCTATCAACCGGATGAGACAGGAAGACAAAATTCAGGAAGCAGGCATATCTATAAGAAAACAAGTTAAACTTTCTATTTGGTTTATTCAGACAAAAGTCTAGGCAACTGAATGGAGAAATAGCTCAATTGGCTATTTCACTGAAAAAGACTAATCTCACTGAAAAAGTTCTAATCTCGTTCTCCTGTGAGGTTTGGCCACTGACCACATATGGTCATGGAAGATTCCTTTATTTACTAGATGTTATGTAGACATAAATGTGCTAGTGTTTCAATTCCAGGGGAATTTACCTAATTTGTGAATAAGATGATCACTATTTTAAACAACTTAACCTCAATTCTTATCACGGATAAAGATAACACAAATTAAATAACCACTCCTAACTAAAGAAGAGAATTATTTCCAAGAATATTTCTGTAACTATGTCATGTTCCAAAACAATGTTCATCCCAAGACAAAATTATAGGGAACTATTAAGAGATTGATCCAAAAAGTTTATGTTTATGCCTTCTCAGCTGCTATTCTTAATTATCATCTTCTAATAATGGATTTTCATATGTTAATCACTTTTTTCCAATCTTTATTGAGGTATAATTGACAAAAATTGTATACATTTAAGGTGCACAATGTAATGATTTGATATACAAATGTAAATGATTACCACAATCGAGGTAATTAACACATCTATCATTTCACAGTTGGCATTTTTTGCGTGTGTGATGAGAACACTGAAAATCTTCTATCTTAATGGGGTGGCTCAGTAATTTAAGCATCTAACTCTTAATCTCATCTCAAGACTCCATCTCAGGGTCTTGAGTTCAAGCCCTGCATTGGGCTTTACTCTGGGCATGGAGTCTACTTAAGGGCGCGCATGCACACACACACACACACACACACACACACACACACACACAAACACTACTACCTTAGCAAATTAGCAAGTATACAATACATATTATTAACTATAGTCACCATGCTGTACATTATATCCCCAGAACTTATCTTATAAACTGAAAGTTTGTACCATTTGGCCAACACTCCCCATTTCCTCCATTCTTCAGCCCCTGCAACTACCATTGTACTCTGCTTCTATGAAAGAATAGCAAAGATTTTTGATATTGTAATCCATATTTATTTTAGATGGCTCATATGAATGTTTTGTTGAAAATAATACTGATTTAGCCACAGTAATCAGACAAGAAAAACAAATAAGAGGCATCCAGATTAGTAAAGAAGAAGTTAAACTGTCACTACTTGTAAATGACATGAGACTATATATAGAAAATTGTAAAGACTTCACCAAAAAAGAAAACTACTAGAGCTGATAAATTAATCCAGGAAAGTCACAGGATACAAAATAAATATACAGAAATCCGTTCCATTTTTATACACTAATAATGCAGTAGCAGAAAGAGAAATTTAAAAATAATACCATTAGGGCAGCCCCGATGGCGCAGCAGTTTAACGCCGCCTGCAGCCCGGGGTGTGATCCTGGAGACCCGGGATCGAGTCCCACGTCGGGCTCCCTGCATAGAGCCTGCTTCTCCCTCTGCTATGTCTCTGCCTCTCTGCCTGCCTCTCTCTCTCTCCATCTCTGAATAAATAAAAAATAAAAATAATACCATTTACAATTGCACCAAAAAGAATAAAATATCTAGGAATAAAGGTGAAAGACCTATAGTCTTAAAACTATAAACACTGATGAAAGAAATTGAAGATGACACCAAAAAATGGAAAAGCATTCCACGTTAATGGATTGGAAGAATTAGTAACATTAAAATGTCCTTATTACCAAAGCAATCTACAGATTCAATGCAATCCCTATTTAAAAAACACCAGCATTTTTCACAGAACTAGAATTTTAAAAATCCTAAACTTGTATGTAACCACAGAAGGCCCTGAGTAGCCAGAGAAATCCTCAGAAAGAAGAACAA